TCCTCCTCCACATGCGGCTGCATAGTGAGTGAAGTACTGTATAATAGCGCTGCATCAGGGGCGGCTGAAGCAACTTACGTGCCAAATCCCTGGCTGTGGGCTGCTTGTCTTGCTTGCTCGCTTCTCCAAGCGGGCGAAAGGAGAGGGAGAGAGAAAAACAGTGTGCTGCTGCCTGTCTCTTTAAGGAAGGAGCACATGGAGCCCTCGGCTGCCGGTTTGGCGGAGGGAGGGAGGCAGGCGCGCGCAACAACCAAGCGCGCGCCTGCCTCCCTCCCTCCGCCAAACCGGCAGCCGAGGGCTCCATGTGCTCCTTCCTTAAAGAGACAGGCAGCAGCACACTGTTTTTCTCTCTCCCTCTCCTTTCGCCCGCTTGGAGAAGCGAGCAAGCAAGACAAGCAGCCCACAGCCAGGGATTTGGCACGTAAGTTGCTTCAGCCGCCCCTGATGCAGCGCTATTATACAGTACTTCACTCACTATGCAGCCGCATGTGGAGGAGGAGGAGTGTTGGAAAACGGGGAGAGGGGAAAGAGGGCGGGGAGAGCAGCCCAGGCCGAGAAAGAGGGGAATGGCACCAGCACTCCAGCAGCCTCCATCCCATTAACGAAACGAGCGGAAGCTCGTTAAATTTATGGGGGCTGCCGGTTCGATATTTTTAAACCCTTCCGGGTTTGAAAATGTGTTTTGATATTGCTTCAAAAATGCAAAAATAACGAATTAATAACGAAATAACGAAATAACGAACTAAATTGCACAGGCCTAATAGTTACACCTTCCTTGGGTAATGTAAAGCATCTCAAACAGGACTTGAACAGACACATTCTATTAATTTGATGTCATTTCTGAAATCAATGAACTATAATCACCTCAGTGGTATACGGGGATCTTGAAATAACCTCTGGGGCCATCCAATAAGGTGTTCCTACTAATGACTTCCTTTTTGGCACATCTTTACTGATTTGAGCACAAAAGCCAAAATCAGAGAGTTTCACCTATTCAAAAGAGAAAAACAATAATCATTGCACATCCAGAGCAAAGGAGGAGGAATAGGACAAAGGGGTATATAGTGGGGAACAAAGAATTAATGTCACCTTTCCCTACATCAAAACCCCAGCCTGGATCACCACCCCCACCACCTTATGAAACAATTTATTTTTTAATAAAAAATATTCAAAATTACTAATTACACGGATTTCCAGAAAGAATTTGAAATCCTAGTTATAACTTTTAATGTCCTTGGTGGCTCAGGTGATCCAGACTATTTGAAAGATCATATATCCATCAGGCATGTAGCCGGGGGGGGGGGGGGGGGNAAACAAAAAAACACCCCAATTACAAAACGATTTTAGAAACAAATTTTTTCTTGATCAAACAGGCCTACAATTTTGATGTAATACAAAATGAAACTATAAAGCTTCAGTGCCTCCACAAATATTATTTAGTATAAAGAGTGCAGTACTTTCAAGGGACTGTCTACTTCCCTCTTTCCCTGCCAATTGTACCACAAGGCAACCCAGTTCACCTCTATCCATGTAAGGTAAAGGTTTTCCCCTGACATAAAGTCCAGTTGTGTTCGACTCTGGGGTGTGGTGCTCATCTCCATTTCTAAGCCGAAGAGCCAACATTGTCCGTAGACACCTCCAAGGTCATGTGTCTGGCATGGCTACACGGAGCACCGTTACCTTCCCGCCGGATCTACTCACATTTGCATGTTTTTGATCTACTCACATTTGCTCTACTCACATTTGCATGTTTTCGAACTGCTGGGTTGGCAGAAGCTGGGGCTGACAGCAGAAGCTGATGCTGCTCCCCAGATTTGAACCTGCAACCTTTTGGTCAACAAGCTCAGCAGCTCAGCGGTTTAACCCACTGCGACACCGGGGGCTCCATATAAACTGTCTATTTACCTATTGGGTTTTCCTGAATTATGGGGTTTTTTTTAGCATCATGTGTATATGTGCCTTCAATTCATCAGCTATTAATTTCACAGGGTTTTCTAAGGCAAGGAAAACTCAGAGATGATTTAGCCAGCTCCTTTCTCTGAAATATAGCCTATGGCACTTAGTATTCGATTGGCAGTCCCCCACCCAAGTACTAATTGAGGCTGACCTTGCTTAGCACCCAAGAGAGGATAATATCTGGTGCCTTCAGTGTGTCTAGCCCTTGCATTCAAACAACATTATGCAACAACTCTATCTTTATATCATTAGTGTCTGTTTTTCCCACCTTTCTTGGCAAGAAAAAAAGATTCGGGAGGCTGTAGGTCAACATGGGAGGGCTATTTTGTAAAACTTCTTCCAAAATTTTGTTAATGAAAGAGGGGGATTGAATGACAAAAGCCTCTTATGTAAGCAGACATAGTGACTTGCCTATCTTTGACTTCTCTGTCAATTATTGTCACCTTTTCTGCAGAGACCGTGGGTGTGATCTGACCAAAGATTATACACTTAAGATCTTAGGGGGAGAGAGGTAAGCACATGCACTGGCTGAAATCAGTGCGACTTACAAGTGCTTAGCTCTGACTGTGTTGCATCCTGCATTAACGCTTTGGGTTTGCATGGCACCTAGTAGCTCCCAAAGAAATATTAGTAACAATACTGAAGTTACACTACAGACAACAAATAAAAGACAGCAAATAAACACAGCAACACTTAAGACAGTAAGTAAACAAAAATACCATCCATAGTCGGTTTACATAAAGTAGAAGACGAGAACACTGAAATAGTTCACTTTTCCTATATCTTGGCTCAATAATTAATTAGAAAGGAGACTGCTGTCAGGAAGACTTGGAAGAGCATCTATGAAGAAACCAGAAAAGATCCTACAAGATATATCACTGAATACTAATATTAAGATTGCCTGTGCCGCTATATTTCTGGTTTCTTTGTATAGTTGTGAAAAATAGAGAGTGAAAATAATTGGGAGGAAGAGAATCAACTCATTTGAGATGTGCTGCTGGGGAAGGGTTCTGCAGATATTGTGGACTGCTTAAAAACAAATAAAAAGAGCCTAGAGCAATTCAGGCCTTAGAAGACTAAACCAAGACTGAATTATTTTGGCCATATGATGAGAGAGGAAGTCACTAGAAAAGATGATCACACTTGGTAAAATGGAAGGCAATAGGAAAAGAAGCAGACCGCATTTTGGATGGCTGGATTTACTCAAGGAAGCGATGGCCTTAAGTCTTCTTAGAGGTCTCTCATTCATGAAAACTTAGAGATCTCTCATTTATGGGATTACCAAGATTGACTTGAAGGCAGTTAATAACATTGTTAAAGCTGCAATTTGCATAGAGGAAAACCCTAATGAAAATGTTAAAATATGCTCTTTTTCTTAGAAAGCGGGTTTGCTTTTGCTATGGAAAACAAAATGAGCATAGAAATGAAAGTGGATGAGAAATCTGAAACCCTCACAATACACTAGGTGCCTGAGGAATCTTATCCATACAGACATCTAAAGAAGAACCTGCAGGTATCAGCTCAAAATAACTATTAATACCACAATTTATATGCTGCTATGAAATATTTATGTAGGCAAATGGTAATATATGCATAGCTATTGTCACCAGCCAAGACCTCCAATGGCCCAAACCAAATGTCATCTACCATGGTGCTCGTGTCACTTATTTGATCCACAAAGCTGCTTAGTAGGGGCTGAGAAACTATGAATGTATTATTAATGGATACCAAATCATTGAATACACCTTGAGAATCACTAGGTGAGATCTGCTCTTTAAAAAGAAAGAAATAATACTTTGAGCTGAAAATGGCCTTCATGCCCATTGCACCTCCAATACTGCGAATATCAACTAACCAGCATACATTTTTATACCAGGCTTTTTGTGGTAACAGGTTCAACTGGATAACATCATAATGCAAGAAGGGAATTTCCAAACTTATTGTGCATAGCTAGACAATTATCTTTCCAGATTGCCCCTTCGAATCACAGAATCATAGAGGTGGAAAAGACCACCCCCTTTCCAATCCCTTCTGTCCTACAGGAGTACACAATCAAATTACATCTGACAGATGGCCATCCAGCCTCTGTTTAAAGACCTCAAGAGAAAGAGAATCCACCACACTTCAAGACAGCATATTAAGTTCTCACTGTCAGGAAGTTTTCCCTAATGTTTCGGTAAAGGTAAAGGTTTTCTCCTGATAATAAGTCCAGTCATGTCCGACTTTGGGGTGTGTTGCTCATCTCCATTTCCAAGCTGAAGAGCTGGCGTTGTCCGTAGACACCTACAAGGTCATGTGGCCGGCATGACTACTCGAAGCACCGTTACCTTCCCGACAAAGCAGTACCTATTGATCTACTCACATTTACATGTTTTTGAACTGCTAGGTTGGCAGAAGCTGGGGCTGACAGCGGAAGCTCATGCCACTTCCCGGATTTGAACCTGTGACCTTTCAATCAGCAAGCTCAGCAGTTCAGCGGAAATGTTGCTTACTGGTTTAACCCACTGCGTCACCGGGGGCTCCTAATGTTTAAATGGAATCTATTTCTTGTACTTTTAATCTGTGTCTTAGTCTCTGGAGAAGCTTGCTCCCTCCTCAATATGACATCCTTTCCAATAGTTAAACATGGCTGCCACGTTCCCTCTCAACATTATCTCCAAGCTAAACACATCCAACTCCCTAAGTTACTCCTTGTAGGGCTTGGCTTCCAGACCTTTTGCCATTTTGGTTGCCCTTCTCTGGACATATTCCAGATTGTCAATAACCCTCCTGGGCTGTGGTTACTCGAAATGGACACAGTGTTCCAGGTGAGGTCTGGCCAAAGTCAAACAGAGTGATACTATTACTTCTCTTGGTCTAGCTATTAAACTTAAATCATTGCAGCCTAGAATAGCACTGGCTTTTTCATTGCTGCATCATACTGTTGACTCATGTTCAGCAACTGGTCTACTAAGACTCTTTGATCCCTTTTACATGTACTGTTGTCAAGTCAGTTGTCATCCATCCTATATCTGTGTTTATACATAAAAAGAAATGTTGCTTACTGGCTTCCTGACATCAGGCAAGGTTGCCCATAATGGAAAAACAATAGGTAAAATCAGCAAGTAGGTAAGTTGCTTGCGCGGGGTGTCAGGCCATGCCAGGCTGAGCGGCTGCTCTTCATCCTCGTCTCCCTGCAGCAAAAGCAAAAAAGACGATGGTTACAATCACATTCACGTCAAGTCAAGTCAGATTTTATTTGAGTAGTGTCAATGGCCACTGCAATGATAATACACAAAATGCAATTCATGACAGCAGCCATAACCTACTATAAAAGCTTACTGATGTTTACACTAAAATAATCATATTTCTAAAATATGTAACATAAAGGTAAAAGTAAAGGATTCCCCTGACATTAAGTCTAGTTGCATCTGACTCTAGAGAGTGGTGCATATCTCCATTTCTAAGCCAAAGAGCCGGTGTTGTCCACGGTTGACACCTCCAGGGTCATGTGGCCAGCATGACTGCATGACGTGCCTTCCCGCAGAAGCGCTATCTATTGATCACATTTGTATGTTTTTTGACTGCTAGGTTAGCAGAAGCTAGGCCTAACAACAGGAGCTTACCCCGCTCTCCGGATTTGAACTGATAACCTTTCGGTCAGCAAGTTCAACAGCTCAGTGGTTTAACCCACTGTGCCACCTGGGGTCCCTGTGTAACCTATATAAACAGGATAGCTAAAAGGCTTTAAAATAAAAAAATTGTTAATACAATCACCTTTATTGGATAGATTATGTAAAGATTAACATCTTGAGACAGGAACAAAGATACTGGGCAGATCTTGAAAAGTTATTTTCTTATATTAAAACCCTCATAATTCCCCAGAAAGCATGTGGTTCAGGAATTCTGGTCGTTGTAGTATAGGACGAATATCCCATATCTGAAATGCTTGAAATTATATAGTTTGGGATTTCAGATTTTAAAATTATTATTTTGGAATACTATACACTGATATGTACATAATGGGATATCTTGGAGATGGGACCCAAGTCTAAAAATGAGATTCATAATGTTTTATTTACATTTTGTACACATAGTCTGAAAGTATCTACATCATACTTTTATAATTTGTGCATAAAATATTGGTAAATTTTGTGTACACTGAATCATCAGAAGGCAAAGGTGTCACCTATGTAGATGTTTTTGAGTTTTGGAGTATTTCCGATTTCAGAATTCAAGATAAGGGATGCCCAACTTGTATAAGAAAATAATATTATCTGAGATCCAAATTTTCCACTGGACATTATTTAAAAAATCTTTAGCAATTATTTATTTATTTACTATATTTATATACCACCCCTCTCAGCTCACAGGCGACTCAGGGCAGTTTACAATCAGCACCAAACTCATAAAATACAATTAAAACATAAATATAAATATAAAACCAAGAAAAAAACAATCAATATAAAAATGTATCATTAGAGTCTCCTTGTTAAAAACATTGTCCAGTCACGTTGTCTAGTCGTTCTATTTTCCTATGTCTGTTACACTGCATTTGCAAACGCTTGTTCAAAAAGCCAAGTCTTGCCTTCTTTTTGGAATGTTAAAAGGGAAGGGGCCTATCTGATATCCCTAGGGAGGGTGTTCCATAGCTGAGGGGCCACCACTGAGAAGGCCCTGTTCTCTCATCCCTGCCAGACGTACTTGTGATGAAGGTGGGATAGGGAGCAGGGCCTCCCCAGACGATCTTAAAGTCCTGGAGGGTTCATAAGGGGAGATGTGTTTGGACAGGTAAGTTGGGTCAGTAATGTTACATAATAGACAGATCTCCTTTATTTAAGCTACTGTCATATTTTGCTGCTGGTAAATTCAAAGAGGACAAGAAGACACTCTACCAATAGCTGAAGTTTCACCTAGATTTTCTGAGATATGTTCAAGTCTTTATTTACCACCTAGTGGAATGATGGCTGCCAATTCTGATGGGCTTAGTAGGGATTAGACTGATTCGTGGAGGATAAGCCTATGAATGGCTACTAGTCACAAGGCCTATCTTGACTCCAGTATCAGAAACAGAATGCCTCTTAATGCTAACAACTGAGCAACAGCAATGGGAGAGAATAACTGAACTGCTTAGGACCAAAAATACTTTAAGATTTTTTCATTTTTTGGGATACTCTTTTTTGTACATAATGAGGTAATTTGGAGGTGGGACCCACATCTAAACATGAAATTTGTTTCATATATACCTTACATACACAATCTGAAGATAATTTTATACACATTTATTTATAGTAACATTGAGCATGAAACAAAGTTTGTGCACACTGAGCCATCAGAAAGCAAAGGTGTCACAATCTCAGCAACCCATTCGGAGTATTGGATTTTGGAGAATGTCATATCTCAGAATTCCAGATAAGGGATTCTACACCAGTATTACATTAATACTCTAAGATGGCCATTGTGGGAATTGTGGTGACTATCCAAGAAACTGAAAAGTACCCCCCAAATAGGCGCCACACATTATATAACTCATTCAACTTGAAGGTAAAGCCTGGAGTGGATTTGAAATTACCAGCTGTTTCTGCTGGATAGGCTTTTGATGTCATTCAGCATGCTTCATTTCATATTCAAGCATTACCGATCAGAAGATACAGGATAGCATTCAGTTAGTGACATGTAGATGCATGAGTCACAGTTGGCATATGGGGTGAATTATTTGCCATAGCACAACAGATGTATTCTGGTGAGAGTGGCAGAAGTGGAGTTAAACATAGAGCAATGCTGAATATTGTGACCACACACCATGGCTGTCCATAGTTAACTGCAGTTTAAGGTTATGAGTTGTGCACAGAATTTGCAGTAATTCCAGCTTATTGTGCCCCAAAACTTGTGGCTTTAGGAAGAAGAAAAAAATACTGGCAACACAGATCAACCTAGTGAGAGCCAAGAATGATGACTAAACAGAATAGGATATGTGTGTCTGTGTTTATTCTATTCAATCAGAATTGTTACAATTCTCTCCAGAGAGAAAATGTGCCTTGCTCTGTTGCTTGGTGTTATATGTGTGTGAGATGGTTCTTCATATCTGACCTCCTGTCCTCTTAAACTTACCCTAAATACTCATGTGTAAGTCTAGAAATTTTGCTCAAAAATCAGTCCAAAAAACTTGAACAGTCATGTCTTGAATTTTTTCTGAAACGTTAGGAGCAAAGAAGCCGATCTAATCTCCTTGAGGAGGGCTTTCCATAGCTGAGGGGCCAACGTTGAGAAGGCCCTGTCTCTCGTCCCTGCCAACTGCACTTGTGACGAAGGCAGGACCTCCCCAAATGATCTTAACATCCTCAATGGTTCGCTGATACTGCTGTTTTCCCCTTTCCATAGAATGATCCTTGACTTATCTAAGGATCATATCAAAATCCATAATTTTGACTCCTAAACCTGCCCTCGACATATACATGAGGTCGACTTGTACATGATATATAGGGTAAATTAAACATTTCTGTGGTCCTTCCAAAAGAGATGTGATGCATCTACAACCATGATCATAACCTGCCAGTTGGACACAAATTATTTCCAGAGAAGCACATATTCCCACTTGCTCAGCCAAAAAAATCATCAAATAGACTTCAATAGGGTGCCCCTTGCCTATTTGACAAGTTAGGAACCAGAAAATTGCTGAAAACTGGAAATCATCAAAAGGTAGAATCCAGTAAAGCCTGCAAATGTATAATGGTTGCTGGAAAAAAAACTTCAGTGCTTGGTCACAGAAGTGCGTGGGAACTTGTGGAAACACAATGAAATAGATCAAACGATTAAATGTAAGAGTTCTGATCATAACTAAAAAGGGTAGTAAAATGGAACGTTGAAACATAAATCATCAGAAAATGGGGGATGCCTCTACGCCCTTGGAATCAAATAATATTGGGAAAATGACCTGCTATTCAGAGGTGAAATACAGGTTACTTTGACAAAAGTGGTCACATATCCCCTCAAAGGAGACAGATGCTGGAGATATTTCTTTCCCTGAAATGAACTAGCCATTTAGACTAATATATCAGTCTGAATCCTCGGCTGCTGTTGTTCAATAAGCGGTTTAGTAATCGCACAAGAAAACAATATAGGCTTAGGATGTCTTCTTTATTGGATCTACAGTGCCTTTTCTTTTCACTTAAGATTATCTTTGGTATGGTAGGCACAAATAATTCTTTTCTGATTTGGTTTCCATAGAAACTGGTAAAAAAGGAGCACGCCTGAGTAGGAGGAAATGTTAACGTGAAATTGAATGGTATTTTTAGGAAAGTCATAGGTTGGAACAATTACTGTTGAACTTGGTTAATTGCCTAGCTAACTGATTATGTTTCAAAATGTATATGTAAAGGTTCTGGGGAGGTCAACCTGAAAAAACTATTCACCGAGAAACTCCTGCAGGCCTCTTAGCCTACCTGTCTTTGTTTCTTTCCTTTTTATCAACCCCATTCACAGCTAAGTTATAAATATGCAATTTTATAGAACAGAACATTCTAATACCAGCAAGGAAAAAAATAAATAAATTATGTTCTTCCATCAAACAACGAATAGCAACTTTTGGAGAAAAATGCATATCTTAAAAGTACGGAATTGCTGGGGCTATACTTTTACAAGGGCTTTAGCCTTTTTTTGCCAAAGTATGCTTGCTGGACCCTCACCAAACTACAACTTCCATGATTTCACAGCATTGCAGTTAAAGTGGTTTCAAACTGCATTAACTTGACAGTGACGATGGGGAAGCATGATGGGGTCAGATTACATCTCCATTCCTACCTATTCCATGGTATGTATGCATATGCAACACAACCCGGAAAACACACAACAACCCAATTTTTATTTTGTTTTTCCTTAGTGTATGGCCTGATGAACTGAGACCATTTTATGCACATCTCACATATGTAGTGCTTTCAATAGGCCACAAAAATCCATCATGTCTGAAGGTCCATGATCACAGACTATATCTGACATGGTTCCAAAATCTGAGTACACAGATATCCAACAACATCTGGGGTCGTAACTCCTCTTACGAACCATCACAAAGTTTAAGATCATCTGGAGAGGCCCTGTTTTCAATTTCAATCTATATTACATGTTGAAAGTTTGAATGCCTATTTTATATTTTGGTGGGTTTTAGCTGCTCCCTTAGCCCTCCTCCAACCCACATAAACTAACATAGTTATCAGTTTTGCTTTGAATGTCACCTACATGTCGATTTTTGCATTGACAGCGCTATTTTAATATGTTGTAATCATGTGTTTGTTTTCAGATATTTGTACTTTTGCGATTTCATTGTTCTATTGTATAATAATTGTACAACATCTAAATAACGGAGGTTGGTACTGCCCTATGGAATCAAATAAGAGGAGACTGCAACACTTTCCTGTCTAAAATGTTGTATCACATTTAAACAAATAAAATGTCATATTTCCCCTCCACCTGTCACAAACGCAATTGGTGGAGACGAGGGACAGGGCCTTCTCAGCAGTGGTCCACCGTCTGTGGAATTCCCTCCCCAGGGACATCAGATTGGCCACCTCCCTCCTGTTCTTTAGAAGGAAACTCAAGACTTGGTTGTGGGACCAAGCATTTGATCATTGGGACCCACACATGTACATTATGTACTTCATCCATGCCAATAACAGAATTCCACAGAGAGTCCATTACAAGGAGAACCTGAAATGGAATGGAATGGATGGTACAGAAAATATAAACAAATGTTGGAATAAATCTGAATTATAATGGAGAAGTTATAATTCTGAATAGAGTAGGCAGAAAAAGTATTATTTGTCTCTGACAAAACTGCATCTGGTTTGCATTCTGCAAACTAGAAATAATATCTTCAGCATGACAGCAAACTAGGAATAAGATTCTCAAGATTAAGTGCCATGATATTTTTAGATGGCTACGCTATCTAAAATATACAGGTGCAGACAGATGTGTGCTTGCTTCATCCCTATATTACCTTTGTGACTTTTTGGGGCCATAATTTAAGATGAGAGTCAACAAGCAACTAAAAACTTTATTTCTTAACTGGAACTTCAAACGTTGAATTCGGTACAATTTTCTCTAATATCAAAGAAAAGAAGAGGCACGTTGCTTTGCATGATGTTCACAGGAGTTATAGAATATGTCTATTAAATATATTACTTTCAGGTTTGGAGTACCATTAAACTGTTAGTTGGCAGCATAGTTTAGCCCAAATCTATGGATTTTTAGTGATTGAGGCTCCTTCTTAGTACAGTTTCTTTGAAATAAGTCAAGCTCAGCACTGTTCAAAGATTAGAGCTTCTGACTCTGCAGGTGTTTTCAGAATGCTTTGAAAACACACAACCCAAAATAATTACAGACTGAATATTCTATGAGATGCAATTGAATTTTCCTTTGCTTCTGTTCTTCCTGAATAATTTCTGAGGTATGAGCAACAGGAAGAACATTAATTAATTCAAGACTAGGACCTTTTGCATTTCCTCTGATTTCTCTCTCTCTCTTTTTAAAATAAAGATTAAGGACAAGATCCAGACAACATTAAACACTCTGAAATCCCATTGAGGAATCAAAGAGCTGAACTGGAATTGAAATGATTTTAAACAACAAAATAATACAAGAATATTCTAATGAAAAATGTATTAGTTGTATCCTCTGTGCCCTATTTCAGTGCTTTGAAGACTGCCTTGAAATGGTTTGGAGAACAAATGCAAGCTATTTGGACATATCAAAAGGGCAAACCGCCTGATATTGGCTTTGCTTCTAATCATAAATTCCATTGCTATTTAAAGAACCCCTTTTGGTTAAACAAATTAGGCAGGATCCTGCATTGTCAGGTGTAGTACAATTATGGAGATTTGCTGTTCTCCACTTCCCCAGAAACCCTATCTCTTAAGCCAGGCAGCACCCTAGGCAAATGGCAGCTGAATGGTCTTGACACAACTGCTTGTCTCAATATGTCCTATGATTGGGAGACCACTGCAGTTGTCTCAAATTGTAGTACCTTGGAAACTCTTCCAGTTGAGTTGCCAATTTGCTTACGAGATTTTGTTGTTGTTTATTTGTTAAGTTGTTTCCGACTCTTCGTGACCTCATGGACCAGTCCATGCCAGAGATCCCTGCCGGCCATCGCCACCACCTTCAAGGTCAAGCCAGTCACTTCAAGGATACCATCCATCCACCTTGCCCTTGGTCGGCCCCTCTTCCTTTTTTCTTCCACTTTCCCCAGCATCATTCTCTTCTCCAAGCTTTCCTGTCTTCTCATTATGTGGCCAAAGTACTTCACCTTTGCCTCTAATATCCTTCTGGACATTATTTCCTGGAGTATGGACTGGTTTGATCTTCTTGTTGCCCAAGGCACTCTCCAACATCACAGTTCATAAGCTTCTACCTTCCTTCACTCAGCCTTTTTTATGGTCCACCTCTCATATCCATAGGTTACTGATCATTACACTATGTTCCTGGTTTAAAAGTGTAATTTCCTGTTTAATTGTGTGGTACTTACTTTGAAAGTAGTTGTTATACTCCAGAAACTTTGGTTTTGTGACTGCAACAAACTATGTTGAATTGGTGGAGACGCTATCAGATATTCATTGAAGAACTATAGCAAAATCTGCTGCAGGATGTCCAGCAAAAGCAAAGTTCCTAGGTTATAAATGTCATTTTCTAATTGGTTGTATCATAAAAACGTCGGAAAAGTTTATTCAACTGCAAAAACCTGCAGCACATTTTGATATAGTTTTTCAATGACTATCTCATAGAATCTCAGTCAATTCAATATAGTTTGTGGCAGCCACAAAAACCAAGTTTCTGGAGTATAACAACTCCTTTCAAAGTAAGTACCGCACAATTAAACAGAAAATTGCACCTTCAAACCAGGGACACAATATTTTTCAAATTTTGTTAACATTGTGTAATAGTTGAATAAGCTAGCTCTTTCCCTTCCAGATACAGAGGAGGAAAAAAAGCCCATGGACTCCTAGAAATGTAGTCAAGCTTTACTCCACCCGTCTCTGCCATGGGATCCATATGTAGATTATTTTTGTTAAGGAAAAACAAGGATTTTACTATTTGCTCCCACTTATTTACCACTCTTTTTTTATGAAGTTAGTTGTAATTTCCCACCCACCATTGTATCTTCACAAACCCATGAGATAGATCAGGGTTGAAAGATAATTTGGTGAAGGCCACCAAAGGAGTTTTATGACCAAGTGAAGGTTTGAATCTGAGCCTCTCCTTTCTTGGATTTATACCACAGTAGAATTGTTCATTTGAAATGTCCCATAACATTATTTGATTTAATTAATCTTCAAAATCATAACGAGCTTTTCCATAAACTCTGGTTTATGTTGAATACAATTCTTGCTTCTTTTAATATATCAAGAGACTATATTCTTGGGATACTCTCCCTAAATGGACTCTTGTTTGCTCTTCAATTAATTTAGAGAGTGTATAATATTCAAAAAGAGCAGACAGCATTTAAAAAAGTCCACCCTTTTTGCTTCTCCATGACCCCTTCTTCTGATATACAATGGCTCCTTCAGAACAAACACTCAAAGAAAAGGTTTTCTTTAATTATTTGCGATATTGCATCTGCAGAACATCATGAATAGGACCTTCTATCTGTTTGTCCTCCTATCCCTATATTTCTCAGCACACACATTTTACAAGTGTCCTCTAACTTCCTGCTTATATATCAGAACACTTTGCTGCTTGCATTATGGCTCCATGAACAGGATATCTAGGTTTAAGGAATGTAGGTTAAGTGGCAGAACTTGCAAGAACATCCTTTTATCCACCCTGTTAATCAATGCTGACAGGCTGCAGTTTTAGGAGAAAATATTTTTTCTCAGTGTATCCAAAACAGTTTCTGTTAATGGTGGTGGGGGTGTGTCAATAATTCCCTAGGCAACATGCTAGAAATGTATACTGAAAGGAAACGTTGCTGACTTTGCCCTTGACGAGAGGAAAGTGATAATTGAACAGAATATGTGTGTGTTTATTTCCTGTGCTATAATAAGACTGTACTGTTTTCTGTGGAATCATGATTTCTCCTTCATCTCCAAGACAAATTAACTCATGGACAGATTTTTCCTCCTTTGGTCATAAGAAAAGATTTTTTATAGACTCATAACATTAGAGAAACAGAATTGGAAGAAACCACAGCAATCGACAGAAACGGTGACTACAATCTCCAGAATCCCCAAACTAGAATGGCACATGGCTGTTGTGTCCTTGGAGTTGTATACAGAATATATATGTGTGTGTGTGTTGTATACTGTATGTGTGTGTATGTGTGTGTGTGTGTATTCCAAAACATGGTGACTTCAAATTGATAATCACCATTTTGAAAATCCATCTGAGCTTGTGGTCAACACCTAATTTGAGAACTTGAATATTTACAATTACCATGTATTGTATAGTGCATACATTGGCGATGAATGACTTTGAGTGCTAATCTTGAGTGCTCGATGTCTTCCTGTGCATAATTTTAAGAACATAATTTTTCATAATTTTAAGAACACCTGTTGTATATTGCAATAGATTTTTGCATAGCATAAAATCAAGTATCAATACAATTAACAGAAATGGAGAAGGGAAAAGGATGAAAAATCAGTAACCTCATCTGCTCCAACAGCAGCTCCATTCTGCACTGGTCCTGAACCATCATTTGGAGGTGTCACAGCAACTTCAATTTTTTCTGAAGCATATCCCAGAAAGAAAAAAAAGGAAAGGAGAGAATAATATATGTGAGAACAAATCACTCATTTTTACTGTATTCAACAAACTGATCTGTTTAGATAGTTTTTTGATCATGCTTTTAAAAAGCAGTTTGAGTCAAATTAATACTCAAAATACAGTTGGCCCTTCACATTTTTGGATGTAATGTGTGTGGATTTGATTACACTATGTAACACATTTTTTGTTCCTGGATTATAAATGTCATTTCCTAACTGGCACTATCATGAAAACATGGAAAGGTTTATTAAACTGCAAAAACTTTATTTTTGCAGGACATCCTGAAACACATTTTGCTCCAGTTTTTCAATGAATATCTCACAGAGTCTCAACCAATTCAACACAGTTTTTGGCAGCCAGAAAACCAATGTTTCTGGAGTATAACAACTACTTTCAAAGTAAGTGCCATACAATTAAACTGGAAATAACACTTTCAAACCAGGAACAGAATTTTTTTTCAGATTTTGTTACATAGTGTGATTCACTGATTTGATTAATATATTTTCTAGCTCCTCCACTCCACTCCTCACTATTCTAGGAAGACCTAGAGATTCCTGAACACCTCTCTATGGATATCTAGGACCTCCAGTGCTAGCTTATGGTCAATTTCTGGTGGTAGTTGACTGTGGAGTTTTTATAGAGGACCTAGAAAGATTTAGAGAGGTGCTTTCTTAGATGAAAAAATAGCATTTGTTCTCACTTGTGGAGTGGAGTAAGTGGAGAGTTTACTACAATAGTCACTTTTTTTTGCAAACAATTAAAATTACTAGTTTAGCCTAAAACTCCCAGGATCTTTCAATCAGTATAGCCAGTGATTATGGAGGATGAACAAATCTCGGTATTTGAAATAAGCAATGTCCCCAAGCTTTATATTAATCTTGGAAATTCTGCTTCCAAGGCACAACTATGGCCAACATATTGAAGCTTGGGTAAATTTTGCAGGAGACGGCATTCTCATGGCCACTGAAAAATACAAGGTAACTCTTTTCCCCTTTACAGGGCATTTGTGGTGATAAGTGGGAAGGAATCGGAAGGTTCTGGGATGCTCTCCTAACCAACTCCATTAAGCTGTTTAGTGCAAAGACAACCCATTAAGACAGTGGTTCTCAAGCTGTGGGTCCCCAGATGTTTTGGCCTTCAAATACTAGAAATCCTAACAGCTAGTAAACTGGCTGTTAGGCCAAAACACCTGGGGACCCACAGGTTAAGAACCACTACACTAAGAGTATCAATGGGTGGGTGAAACAAAAAAAAAATCAACTATTGCCAGTGGTCCCTTCTTCTAGAGGGTATTCTTGGAGGTTATTAAGTGGGCTTTTAAGACAAATATGGATGGTGGAAGCGTGACTCCTGCTCAGGAGATACACATCAAGACAAATCAATAGATGAACAGCAAAAGAGCCAATAGTTTGATCTTAGCCTATGGCATCAAATAAATTTAAATTGAGAAATGAACACTGGTTATTTCTTTAGGCTGTGATCTAGATAGCGGAATATTAGGGGCACCAAGATGCCTAATCCCCATTGTGCTGGGTGTGTAAAAACATCAGCCTAAACAAAGAGATATGATTTTTCACATCTTCTCCAGTAAAGCATAACATGGTATATATACAAATATATATCAGAAAAGGAAACTTTTTTAAAACTCCCTTATGGAGAAAACAATACTCTACTTTTACACTTACCAGCATGATTAGCAGTTCCATTCCGCTTTTCACCATCCTCCACTTGACATTTTTTCGCCATCTTATGAAGAATTGATGCCCTTTCTTTGAACCTCCCTGGGGGGAGAAAAGCACCCATGTTAAAACACAGCTATTTCTAGGCCGTTGCATCAGCTTCTGACTTCACACCATAAAAGTATGTCATGCTGAACTCTTCTAACTTCAGAAGACTGTGCCCTTCTTCTCACCTGCCTCCCAACCCCTTTTTAGAAAAGTAACAGCTTGGGAACGTCTGTGTTTCACAAAATGTTTCTGCAACTTTGAGGGACAGCACTTTTGGGTAAGGAGGACAGGTTTATTTAAATCCAACTAACTCTGAACAAAGTAAAGTGTCAGAATCATTCCAACTTTTATTAATAGCTCAGCACTTTCTTTTCCTATTCCCCCAGAGTCTAGTCTAAAGGGGATTTTTGCAACCCAGGGCTCAATATGATATATGTTTATCTGAAATAGATGTGACTGAACAAAATGCACTGAAGCCTAAAATTACACTTTAAAGCAGGTGACCCCAAAATTCTTAAGTCAAGGACCGGGATATGGTCCCTAACACCATTGGGGGCCCAGGCTATAGTTTGAAAAAATATGAACGGATTCCTATGCACACTGCACATACCTTATTTGTAGTGCAAAAAATGAAAGAACAATACAAAATTTAAAAGGAAGAACATTTTTAACCAGCAGAAACTTACCAGTATTTCAATGGGAAGTGTGGGCCTGCTTTTGACTGATAAGATAGTCAAGTTAATTAGAATTGTTATTGTTTTGTGCCTTCAAGTAGTTCCAGACTTAGGGTGATCCTAAGTCTAAAGTTTAGGGCAGGGGCCAGGTAAACAAGGTAAATGGCCTTGGCAGGCCGCATTCAGCCTATGGGCCTTAGTTTGGGGACCCCTGCTTTAAACCATAAAAATGACATTGAGAGTTTACATACAAACACTCAACTGGTCATATCCAAGAACTGCTTTCAAAGGACTGAAATACCAATTTCTTTTACATTTAAAATAATAAGGATTTAGTCAATCAAGTTACTTCTTTAACTCTGGAAGGCCTTTAAGTAATTTGGACTCTTGCCAACATGATTTTTGAATGATGGCTGTATGAGTCTGGTCCAATGTTTTTTCTCTGTTTTGGTACTACTGATTTCTTTGATTCTGAGATACCCTCCCCTCCATATAAACGTCTCTAAAAATGGAGTTTATTAGAGAATCACAGGTGCTTATATGATATATATAAATGAATTTTTCTTATCTGTTGGTACTGAAATTAGTGTAACACCTTACAATCAATGGCATCTTAAAATTGATCAAATACAGTATGGCCATCAAGTGCTATCTAGGTAAATACTATGAAAATGTCCCATAAAGACTTAATGGCAGGTTATGTTCCAGAGGTTCATCTCTAGCTAGCACAAACCTTTTGTCAAATAATATAAGACACCATCCCATGGTGGATATATCCATATTTTTACTTTCTTTTTCTTTTCTACCTTTGGTCAACCAGGTTTTGTATACATCTGAAATAATGCAAAAAACAGTTGGTCTAAAACAAGTTTGTCTTATAACCCAAGAGTGTATGATTCCTAAGAAGCTACGCCTTTGTCAAACTATCTACTTGGTTAGAAGGTTGTCATTCGATTAATACCCCCAACCAACAGAATGGCTTCAACCACCAAAATGGGAATGGGGTAGTGATAGTCTCTTTCCCATGCAGTTTGTTGTATATCCTTAACATTTAGAAGACTCCAGAGCAAACATAAGGAAGAAAATGGGGATCTCCATGGGAATAGGAAATTTAACTATATGATAGGAAGCCATAATATTGGCTACAAATATGCCTAACTCTTTGTTCTTGGGCTATATAATTATTTTTACAATTAAATGGGAAATGGGCATAGATACAGGTAGTCATATTGAAATGGGGGGTACATGGCCATTCTAATAACTGGAGGAAATATTAATCACATTTCCCTTATCTTCATGTTAATGACCTACAGATTATCCTGAGATAAATTAAGATTCAGATCAATGTAGGAAAATGTATCATTCCTGGTTTCCTGAAAATTTCCTGGAGTACAGAGAACAGCTAGATTAAAGAAGCTATGTGCCCATTTATAGGAGATACAAGTTGAGTATCCCTTATTCAAAATGCTAGAAAATAGAAGTGTCTTGGATCCAACCCTCCAGATTTTAGAATCTCTGTATTTACATATATGTACATAATGAGATTTCTTGAAGATGGGAACCAAATCTAAAAACAAAATTCAAAGAGGTTTTTTATGTATCTTATACACATTGGCTGAAGGTCATTTTATACAATAATAATTTGATTAATGAACCAAAGTTTGTGTATACTGAACCATCAGAATGCAAAGGGGTCACAATCTCAGCCACCTATGTGAACAATTTTGGATTTTGGCATTCTGGATAAGAGATGCTCAACCTGTATAAGCATATTATGAAACTAAAGTACCTCAAATGGAATAGCCAGCAATACAATTTGCCTCATCCAGTTTGAAACTTGATCACGAATTAGTTCAGAAGAACAGCTCATGTTTTAACATTAATGTTTCAGAGTAATTTGAAAAGTTGCCATTCATCTAATAGTCTAAATATTCTAACAGCACTAGATTTCATCTGATCTGGGAAGCCCAAGTTATTTATTTATTTATTATTTATTTACTTCATTTCTACCCTGCCTTTTTTGACCTGAGAGGGGACACAAGGCAGCTTACAAATCTGGCAAAAATTCAATGCTGTACAGACAAAGAATAAAACACATATCATAAAAATATAAACAATCTAAGCATATAAGCATTTAAAACTCATAGCAATCTATCAAACAGATTAAAACCACATATAAAACGCTGTGTCATGATCTCATGCCATCTCCCATCCAAGTTAATGATTAGATGGGAGATGACCAATGAATACAAGGTACTGTAGTCTATATTTCAGAGGAAGGAAGTGGCAAAATGACCTCTGAGTAGTCCTTTCCTTTAAAAACCTCTATTAAATTTGTTGACAAGTGACTTAAAAGTACACACACACACACGTTTTACACAAAACAATGAATCTGGTACACACTGAACATCTTTACTTTACGAGTGTTTATCACAAGACACTGCAACAGCAGTTAACATAGGTGGCAAATATTAAAAAAATTAAGCAAAGAATTATTATTCAAGAAAAAGAGGCTGAGAAAGAAACAATTAATACAACAGTCCCATTATTACCTTATTTTAATGTAGTGCAAAGCTCTAGAGTTAAAACAATAGATTCAGATCCTCACATGCTGAAAGTAGTGCATATGAGCAGAGAAAAAGAGTGACAGAGGTACACAAAGCCATTTGTTCATGTTGCAGCAAAGCAGATTTACAACCTTATCTTATAGTTAACTAAATGTGGAAAGCCGCGCACGTTCCTCCTACAGATACCGAGGAAGATGTATAGACTGCTGCTCCTTTCCCCCGGCATATCATCTTGAGATGGCACTGCCATTGGGCATAGTGGAAAAGAGAAGTGATGATTCACAGACTAACATTTTGTTGCAAAAGTTAGTTCTGTTGTTAGTTAATGTTGTCTAGATCAAGGATTCTCCAAATTTTGATCCCTCTGGTTTTCAACTCCCAGAAGCCCAAGCCAACTTGTCCTAAGATCAGGGATTCTGGGACCTGAAGCCTAGACACATGGAGAACCAAAGTCTGGAAAGCACTGGTTAAGAGGGAATATCTCAAAAAAGTTCCTGTGCTGTTACACCTGGGAAAAAGTTTAGGTGCTGTACAGAAAAAGCACATTTTGGTGCACAAGACACATATTCCTCTGATCTTTTAGTGTTCTGGAAGCTTGCAAGCTATGAATGCAGCCTAACTTTGCAAAGACGACTTTGCCTGGAAGACAGAAGCCTTTCTGGAATATGGCCATACAGCCCAGAAAATTCACAGCAACTCAGATGCCTTTGCTTCTTTCCTTGAATACTGCTACAGTGCTACTGCAATAGCTAAACACTGAATCCACCAAAAAAAAAAGGTAACTATGATTCTCTGTGGAGTAGTAATAAAAAGCAAGGGATCAAGTAGGGTGAATTTTATAGAGCAAAACATACTAACAGAAAGGCTCACGTTCACTTTTATCTCGTATGGCATGGAGATTTCCAAGAACTATGATTACATGGGGGCAGGAAACGCAGAAGTATCTTTTAAACTTCTAGGTTATCCATAGAGGTGGCAGAAAAATCAATGTAATGTGAAAATGCCACCACCTGCTCTTTAAAATGCTTAATATAAAAATGTCAGGGAAAAATTATATCTAAGTACAGCAATTAAGAGCAAACATTGCAAATACTGTACTATTGCTCCCCACTCCCATTCTGGCTGACAGGAAAGCCTCACTTTCTAATATAACATTTCCTTCCCATTTCAGATCCATTCCACGCTTCATAATATCACCTAATAGGTCCTAATTCTTAATTAAAAGAACCATACATCATTTGCCGTTCCCAAGAGCCAAACTCCACTGGTAGGTCTTTATTTACCCTTTATCCTGGACTGATCTGGCATATGGTGGTGTTTGGAGGAAGTCTCCAGCGTCCATAATTTGGACCTTCCCTTGACTTTATCTAATGTGGAATAAAACTGTGTTAAGATGGCCTAGCCCTGGGTTACCCCGGATCAGCTCTATGTGGTTTTTGGACACTACAGGGCAGAACTGCCCCTATACTGACCTCAGTGGTTAATGTAGATGGTGTCCTTATTGTGTTATCAAGTAGTGTTTCCTAAACATACATTGTCTGATTAAGATGAATATAGGAACAGCAGTTGTTCTTGCCTGGTTAAAAAGAAGGGAGAATCTGGAGGAGGGGTAAACAGCTACCCCCCCCCCCCTTTCCCAATTCTCCCTGAAAATTGTCACTTCTAGAAGTAGGAAATAAAATTATGGCTGAGAAGCCCAAGTTCAGTTGTAACTTTAGCTCAGATGTGGGGAGGGCAGGACAGCAGCAACCCCTTTGTATCAATTATACATTACTCATATTTAAAATAAGGATGCAAAATGTTATCTGATACCACTCTAATTTAAAAGTTTATTTTAACGTTTCTATTGATGCCCTGTAAGGACTGAGATTGCAGGTTTAGAAAAACACTGATGGAAGATACAGCATCAGCGCTGCAGAAACTGATTCATTCTCCTTTGCTGTTAGAATCATGGTGCAGTCAATGCTTGCTCAACACAATATTTTAAAAATCAAGTTGCTGGACCACACAATTTTACTGTTTCTTTTGGAAAATGAAAATTGTGATCACTAAGTTAAGTATATTTCTAAAGTCATCCCATGGTTTTTATTTTCTTCAAATGGCTGGACAGCAAAAAGGAATATGGGATGAGTATGTTCCAGAGGACAATTTTCTGGCTCTTCAGAGACGCACCACTTCTGAAAATGCAAGAGAAAGACAAGACCAGCCTGCTTTTGTTTTTGTATCTTTTTGGAGGAGGTGGGGGGTTCTAATCTTTTTTGGTGGGCTATTTTGGTAGAGAAAAACAACGAGCCATAGGAAATTGACTTTGTTTTTAATGTGAGACCACCACTCCTAGAAGTTTCCTGGTAAGAAAATCTGTTTTATGAATCCCTCTCCCAGCAAAAATATAGGTGTGTGCCCCTTGCTAGAATAAGGCCACCCCACATAAATGTTTTGAGGGATGCAAGCAAGCAGTTCAATTCCCACCCACTGTTCTAAGGTTGTATCCTGAATCAAACTTCTCAGTTCTACTCCATTGCTGTCCATGCAAGATATGGATTTTGGACTTGACCACATAAAGTCAAGTCCACCGAGTCCTCCGGGAGATGGTAGCGGGGTACAAATAAAGGATTATTATTATTATTATTATTATTATTATTATTATGCCGCTATCTCACTACAGCTGTGCTATCATATATCCATATTGGGCTGAGCATCTTCAAAATCGCAGCTTTCTTCAATATAGTAGGAGGCACATGATGCCATGCAATTACCGTTATTCACCAAACGTGATAGCTACAACAATGATTTGCCTGCCTGAATTCTGACATGAAACTTATGTAGAATCAATGCATAAAGGCCTAGGTTATGCATTGGTTCTACATAAGTTTCATGTCAGAATGCAGTTGCAAAGACTACTTGGAAATTAATTTAATCTTTTAGTTATTTATAATGTATTATTTTCTTTCCTGCTTTTAAATAGAATTTAAGTAAGCATTTGAAAATAAATAAATAAATAAATAAATAAAGTCATTCTTAGTGTTCCTATTTGGACTGACGTTCAGGCTGAATCCTCTTAGTCCAAGCCAAATTGGACCAATGCTGAGTCAATCCTTACACAAATCCCACTGATTGTTCTTTTCTTTTCTGTTCCTTTCCATTCCATTCCATCCTAGTTGGGAATTCAGGCTTCTGCTGCCATTCAGGTAAAGGACTGAACACATTATTTGCACGACCATTACTACTTTATTAATGTTTTATCAGGAGAAAGCAACAGTTGACAGTTGGGTGTGATATAATGGCTTTTCCCAAGCTGCCAGGAACCATTTTATTTATTTATTTATTTATTTATTTAATACCCTGCTTTTCTCCCTGTGGGGATTCAAGGTGGCTAACAATCTCACACTTTAGTTAAATTGAAAAAGTGCAATGAAAAAGTTAAAAAGTGAATAGTACAGTTTGGTAGAAACAGATTAAAATAAGCATACTTAAAATAGCCTTTAAAACTCACAGTTGTCACCCCACCCCCCGAATCCCACCTGCAATCTCCCCTTATCCTTCCCCAAATGCCTGGTGGCAGAGGAAGGTCTTGACCTGTTTTTGAAAGGCCAGCAGGATTGGGGCCATTCTGGTTTCTCTTGGAAGTGAGTTCCACAGTCTGGGAGATGCCACCAAAAAGGCCCGTAATCCCACCCAACATGTTCGAGTGAGTGGTAGGACAGAGAGAAGGCTCTCCCCAGTTGATTGTAGATGTCTCCCATATTCATAGAAAGAGATATGGCCAGATAACCTGGTCAGGAGCCATATAGGACATGGCAAATCTAAACCAGCACTTTGAATTGTGCCCGGAACTGTGTTGGCAGCCAGTGGAGCTGCTGCACGCTCACTAGTCAGCCCCAGTTAGGAGTCTGCTCTTTGGACCAAATGAAGTTTCTGAGCAATTTTCAAACACTGCCAAATTTGCTCCCACATCCATTTTGGTACATCTTCTTTTACAGCAAAATGCTGATTTACTCCATGTATTACAAAAATAAAGTTATTCACACGTCTGCACAACATTAGCTTTATGATTTAATTAGCCAAACAATCAATAAATGGCAATCTGGCAGCTGAATTCAAATGCAACCACAATAATCAAAGCCAAACCAATTGTCAAAATAGAACTCCTCAAATGCTATCAGTAGAGTGACATCTGAGCATCAATTTCTATACATTTGCTACAGCAGGGGTGGGCAAATTGTGGCATTCCAGATGTTGGTGGGTGGCAACTCCCAACAACCTTACCCAGCCTTGCCAATGGTGAAGTCATGAGAACTTTCCAAGAATAATCTGGAAAGCTGCTAAGCCTCACCCTGTGCAATAGAATCCCACAGTGTTGAAGAACAGCATTTCCTAACCTCCAGCCTTCCAAGAGTTTGGACTTCAGCTCCCATAATCCCAGGTAGGTGATGCATCTGAGAATCCAAATACTTGGAAAACTAGAATTTGGGAATCACTGCTATAGGAGATCCTTGGTTTTATTCTGGTGCAATCAGGCTATAGAAAACGTAAGTTAGACCTGGAAAACCACACCATGTCCTCATATGACAGATTATACCAAATACCATTTCTAAGATTCTTAAAGGGGAGTACTGTTAATGGGCCAGCTGGTATTTTTTCAGTTGAGATTATTGCGGAATTTATTGCACAAATCTCAAGATTTTACATTCCTGATTTTACCTTGCCTACTAATAACAAAAAGTGTTTTCTAGAGTACAGTATTTGAAATATAGTATGGCCCTTGTATTTTGGGACTGGTACCTGCAATTCAAATACATATTTGCAGGATCAAAACATCTAGATTTTTAAATTTGTATTTGAAATTGTATTGTCCAGTTTCAGCTGTTTCTGTTTTTATATTTTTTGAGCTACCTTGGGTTCTACATCAGGAGAAAGGTGACATATGAAAGGTATAAATAAATAGCCCAGATGATAAGTCAATGTTTATAATTTATTCCTGAATTTTACTATTAACAATTACAAAAACATTTTATTGATTTTTTAAAAAATGTATAATATATATACATTGATTAGTCAAAATGTGGGCCATGTTAAAGAAAAAACACATTTGCTGTATGATAGTAAAAGAAAAAAATGGGAAATGCAAGTTAATAAAAAATTTGAAAGTTTTAAAAATGTTAAGAAAGATGATAACACATCACAAAATGTCAGTGAAACCATGCAGAGAGGAACCAAAAAACTTCAAAAAGAAGAAAAGGATAGCAATAGATTTGGTTTAAAGAGTAAAAAAATGCTGACACAAAAATTCTAAAATATTTCTTACCTTCTTCAGTCATTGTGTCATAATATTTTAGCTTTCCATATGATCCAAGCTCTACAATATCATAGTAAAAGACACAGAGATAAGGAACCAGCAGACATTCAAGATAATTGACATCCATTCACATATTTTGAATAACATTCACAGCAATGAACAGCAAACACAAGTTGTCAAAACAGCACATTATGTGATTTTCACAAGAATCACTTCTATAGTCCAGGCTGATTTTGCAAAAAATTGCTGTTCACAACATCAGACCGTAATATTTAGATGGACTTAGGGAATTATTCAATCTCCTATTTTAGGTCTGTTTTATGTTCAACATTTGTGCAATTTTATAGTTGCATATTACAATAAACTGTATTGAGTATGAGATTTACTGAATGTAATGTGCAGCTTTTGGGCTAAATTACATTGCTAAAAGTGAGGTACGATTACATTCGATAATGTCAATAATGTCGAGCTTGCTAGCCTTGGCCATACAGAGGAGAGGTGACTCTCCAACTGGCCTCATTCACAAGGTCTTCAAAATCTCACCCTCAGTTTTGAAGACATTGTGAATGAGACCTCAGTTGGGAAGCCACTGCCTCTTCACCAGGCCAATGGAGGGAACGACTTCCCCTTGTTCGTCGGCCATTCCAAAGTAGGCAATATTCAAATCTTTTTGTAATTCGTATCTTCAAAACTGAGGTGCACATTACAATGGATGGCACAGTACACTTGAATAAATATGGTATATTTTGTTATGTGACACGGTGGTGCCCATCAATTAAAACTTGGATTTAGGTGATATGTAGGTTCCTTCACACCTACATGTTTCTGATCCAGAGTATACAACTAGGTTTAGACACGTGGCATTACAATATGGCTATTGCCATCATTCTGAGATATATATAAGACTCAGTTAACAAGGCCCCTGACCACCCCACAATTCTTTTTTTACGAAGGCTTTTTATGCCCACCAGCATGTCTTTTTTCTCATTCTCTGTCTAGCTGGAAGACTCACTCCCTGGTAGATCTAATCTCATGCTACTCTAATAATGTTCAAGGAGTGACATCCAATTTGGGGTTACATCGCTGTAACATATGGCACACACAACTATCTCTGAAGCCATTTCAAAAATTTCAATTACAGTAGGCTTATCACTTTCATGTGGGTTAGAAATGCAGGACCCAAGTAAACGTGGAAAAACTGCAAATAAGAAGCCCACTATAATCTGAGAGAACACCTCTGGGAAACTCCAGGTCCTCCAGCATGACCCCATAGTCAAATTATGCTGGAGGTCAGTCACAGAATTGAGACTTAAGAGTGTTCTTTCTAGGAATGTGTAGGCCGTCCAGCAAGTTGACTAGAGAATTGCCCTGGAGGCCCTTGAGCTTCCTGAAGACAATATATTCATCAAATTAACAAATAATAAAACCCATAAAGATTAAACCTGGAAATGTAGAGGGCAGCCTGTACTTCAAAATACCTGTAGCTATAGAGTTCCTAACATGGAATGAAACAATCTGGGGGCATCCATCCTTTCCTAGCTGAATTAGTTTCCAGTCAATTTCCCACGTTTTGCCCAGATGCTTCTTCAGATATTTTCTGTTAGAACTCCCTGCTGACGGATGTTTGTTGGGTAGCTATAATCAAAACAGGCTTTTCAGTTGTCACAACCCATTTTGAGAATATTATTTCCAAGGAGCCTCAGCCATCTTTCTTGGAAAACGTTTTCTTCTCTCTCTAACATATTAGATTTTAATTGCTATTTTTTATGTATTTTCAGTACAATCTTTCTAAAAAAAAAAAGCACTGCAATTTGCATTGTGTTATTTTAGCTTGCTGCAATGTGTCTCCCCAAAAATTGCTACTGGGCAAACAAAAGATATAACTAAATAAATGTGTTTTGTACATTAACTGTATTGAGCACCTAGCCCTGCATATTAAGAAACTATATAATTTGCCACCCCAACATGATTCCTCCATACTCCATGGGATTTTTGTGTAACCTCCCACTCTTTTCAGTTCTTTTAACTTGTTAAGGCATCACAAATCAGGGCCGTGTGTAGCTCACTTTTTGTTCATGTCAGGAGTGACTTGAGAAATTGCAAATCGCTTCTGGTGTGAGAGAACTGGATGTCTGCAAGGACATTGCCCAGGGGATGTTTTGATGTTTTACCATCCTTGTGGGAGGCTTCTCTCATGTCCCCACATGGAGAGCTGGAGCTGAAGGAGGGAGCTCATTTGTGCTCTCCCTGGATTCGAACCTCTGACCTGTCAGTCTTCAGTCCTGTTGGTACAATGGTTTAACCCATTGCACCAGCGGGGGCTCCACTGTAACCCACTGAATAATATCTGTGTCTCCATTCATCATTCCAAACTAGTGTAAACAGAGGTTTGCAAAGATAGTGGCAGCTCAGATATATTGTTCTTCTGTCACTCTATTTAGCAAACAAGACTGGGCATAATTTCCAGTTAGTTCTACAGTTTTGTTTTCACAGACCTCCTAAAGCTTGTGATCACTGTGAATGGACCACTGGCTGTCTTCACAATGCACAGCAGCTTATGGTAAATATCCCAGGGGTGTTTTTTTTTTTTTGTATTACCTTGACTTTGCACCACTTTAGACAAAGTCAAGAAATACAATGGAGTTTGCTTGAGTATCCAGGGCAGTGGTTCTCAACCTGTGGGTTCCCAGGTGTTTTTGGCCTACAACTCTCAGAAATCCCAACCAGTTTACCAGCTGTTAGGGTTTCTGGGAGATGAAGGCCAAAAGATCTGGGACCCACAGGTTGAGAACCACTGATCCAGGGGCTTTGGGGCAATATGGACATTTAATCGGAGTCTGATTTGGTCCAGTCCAGTGTCCAGATGGAATCTGTCACCATCACCATTTCTCTGGGCTGATTTGAGCAGGGAAAGTGGTTGGTTCATGTCTATGTCATCCACACCACCACCCTTAGTTGGCCACAGAGTGCCTGGCCACTGCTGTCACTCCAGTTGACGTTAGAACACGGTACCCACATAACCAGCAAGAATAAAGGGAGATCAATCCCCTCCTTCTTGCTGGTTGTGTGGGACACCCCACAGAAAGGTGATTATGATATCTGGGTGCTCAGAAGGATATCCATGGCCAACTAAGAGCAATAACTATATCAAGGAGGTGACAGCCTTGTGAGGCTGCTGCAATACCAGGTCACTTGGGCAATGGCCTCAGATCTTGCATACATATGCTGGATCTGAGGCTTTGGCCTAGATTCATACTGGGCTAACTGCTTGGTGTAGATGAGCCCTGTTACAACACAATGTGGGGATTACATGGGGACATAACTTTAGCTTTCCTATTTTTGACAATATGACCCCTTCTTTATCCAACATGCTTTGCAAAACTTTAATTGGAACAATATGAAGTTGCATATCAACATTTTATTACTGTAATTAATGGGCTGGGCAAGAAAAAGTGTTTGCACCCAGGAGCACTATCTATTTGCCAAAGCATCAGAAAGGCCTTATGTAATATCCTGGAACCATAAGAACTAAAGGCAATGCATTATGCAACCAACACTTTTCAATTAGAAGAAAACTATCCACTATTCAGGTAATGGGAAGGTGACATGGGAGTGCGAGCCCCTTTTAGACTTTTCTTCTGAATGATTAAAAAATTCTCATGTGAAAAATCATGAAAAATTAAACTGATCACAGAGTGACTTCCTGATCACTAGGTTCTATTAGATTTTCCATTACAACATTCTTTCTAAGCATTTGCTAGGAGCTGCTGGGTGACTTTGAGCAACACACACAGCCTCAGAGAGAAGTCAAAGGCAAATCCCCTCTAAACAAATCTAGCTAACAAAACCCCACAATAGGTTTGTCTTAGGTCACTATAAGCTAGAAATAACTTGGAGGCATAGAACAACAACTGGATAGTAGAATCATTGTAACTATTCTCCTTCCTTTTAATGGAAGGACTTAAAAAGTAATTATAGAAACATTCATCCATCATTTTGTTCTGCATCTATTTTCAATAGTTCTTGTCTGCTCTCTTCTTTAAAAAATGCTCTCACTTCAGGAACATTTCCATATTATCTCTCTTTTGCCCATCTTAACTGCTTCAAAATTGACGTTTGTTTTTTCCTCCTAAAATGAAACACGTCTTGCCTCTGCATTTCTTTCGTTGCTAGACTACTCATTCAATTTAAGACTTATAAACTCTTGTTTGTTGTTTATTTTTATTTGTAAAATAATTAAAACACAAAATTAAAATGATTTTTTAAGTTAAAAAATAACCAGCCCTTGATTGACACTCAATATGAATATTACTGACCTGATATTTGCTATAGGACTAAAAAGAAGAGCAAAACATTGAAAAGGAAGACAAATGGTAAAAAGAGGCAACCTTGCAGTATTGACAGAATCCTTTTGTTTTTTAAGAGGGCTTCCAGAAAATTTATATGCAAAAACAAGGAAGTTATCATTTAACCTTTCAAATAAAAATATTTTAGATGTTAACAAAAACACCTTCTCTCTATATTCTATAATCATTTTCTTGGAGATCACTGATAACCCAAGGGCAGCTTATGGTTGGGACTCCTGGGGGGGTGGGGGGGGTGGGTGTCGCCAAATACCATCGGAAAACACAGTATTTTGTCTTGGTCACGAGAGTTCTGTGTGGGAAGTTTGGTCCAATTCTCTCATTGGTGGGGTTCAGAATGCTCTTTGATTGTAGGTGAACTGTAAATCCCAGCAATTACAATTTCCAAATGTCATCAAGGTGTATTTTCCCCAAACTCCACCAGTGTTTACATTTGGGTATAGTGAGTATTCGTGCCAAATTTGGTCCAGATCCATCATTGTTTGAGTCCACAGTGGAAGTAGATTAACTGCAACTCCCAAACTCAAGGTCAATGCCCACCAAACCCTTCCGGTATTTTCTGTTGGTCATGGGAGTTCTGTATGCCAAGACTGGTTCAATTCCATTGTTGGTGGAGTTCAGAATGCTCTTTGATTGTAGGCTAACTATAAATCCCAGCAACTACAACTCTCGAATGACAAAATCAATCCCCCCCAA